GTGCGCATGGATGGTGGTTAAAAAGCTTAAAGGGGTACTAAATAGACCAAGAAAAGATCCATCACACTAGGCATGTGGAAGGCAGTATTTAGCAGAATGAAATAAAATGTGTGAATAGGCAATAAGATCATTTAGTTTGAGGTGTTTTTATTATTTGTGTCTCATTAATTTTATTCTGAGTTTGAAAAGAAAACCTACCTGTGGTTTACATGTGAGTTTGATTGGACAACATGTTCTCAGGGAGCAGGCTGCATACCAGGGAACCATGTTCATTATCATAAATGAAATAACACAGAAAAATCAAAATGAGCTACAGAATTGATAATATCATATACCACTGTCCTTTCTTTCAGTATGTTGTGAACACATGGATATATTTAAAGCTTTCCTTTATGTTGGATAATATCAAAGACAGATCCAGTTGATTTTATATAATGGGCTATTTCAAAGTAATGAATTAGCTGAACTAATGCTTTTGTAAAATAAATAATTCCAAAAGAAAATAGATCTTTATTCTTAAATCCTCCCCCCTTCTCAATTAATTAGACTTTGTTGGAGAAAGGAAGTTAAGAAATTCAGCATAAGCCTGATTATATCACAAATGTAAAATGAGCAGGGCAAATAATGGGCTCTATACTCTTTCAAACAAGTTAAATAAGTCCATAATAGCCCACCAGTTGTGTAAACACTATTTCACTACACTTGTAAAAGAAATATTGACTTACCTGTTAACTAAAATTATCCTGGCATGCTTCAACTAAGCTTATTGGTAATTCTTGTGGTGTACATGAATGTTTTTAGTTGTGGACTTTTATCAGAGGTTAAAGAATTAGGAAATCATCCATTTAGCAAACTCAGAAAGTAGACGTACCAGACTGCACTCTACCAGAATCGATTTTAGGAATTTGCAATCTAAGAGTTTGAAAAGCAAAAGGTGGTTCCAATCCTGGCTTGAGATAATCCATTACACATCAGATCATTAACACTAAGATACCTGACAAAACCATAAAAAACATTTCACCCAGACAAAACACACTAAATCCATCCACTTTAGCCTACTAATCTTCCTATCATGGGTAAAAGTGTTTTTTTGCTCTGACATCTTCCCAGTATGTATTACTATGAATTGTTAAGAGAAACTAGAAATGTATATATTTACGGGGGAAAAGCTTGAAAATACACTGGTCCCTACTGTTCACATAAAAGGCCACCATTCTCTGCTCCAACTAGTTCTACTACAGTGCAAAAAGATTAGACTTTTCTTTACAAAAATATGTGAATTTCTTTCACAATAAAATAATAGTAAATCCAAGATCCTAAGCAGTTTAAGTCTACATGGCTAGAATTCCCAACAGATTTGGAAAAGAATATAGAACTTACAGTCAGAAGACTCAGGTTAGAATCTGGTTCCATCACCGACTTGCTGGTTGCCATTAGGAAAACCACTTGCATTTCCTGTCCTTAAATTTGGGGTAAGAATACCACCTACTTCATAAGGTTCAGAGGACACATAAGAGCATATGAATGTGTGAATGGCTGAAGCAATGCTGATGGTCACTATTGTGCAATTTGAAAAGCTGATCTTATAAATTAAATGGTATTTGCTACACAAACAGAGAAAGACTACTGCTCAGTGGCCTTATTCGAAATTTTTTATAGTGTGCAAGGAATCTGATTTACTGTATTTTCATCTTTATTAGCTAAAGTAATTTATTAGACAAAGTAATTAACATACATGCAGTCAAGCAACCACATCACCATTAGCTGAACCATTCTTAGTTTTAACCCATGTGATTTTCTGCATTTTAAGGCCTACAAGACCTTGAGGGTTGATCAGATCACTCTTAAATATTCATGCTTCCTGAACTTTCAGGCTTTCACTGAGCATTCTTGATTGCAAATGATCACAGATAAATCATCACTCACTACCTCAAGCAACAAAATAAAACCAAATTGATTGATTCACCCATTTGGGAGGTTATAGAGTAGGAATGGCCTTAGATTCAAGTGTTTAAAAGATGGTCTCAGGGTTTTGCTTTTCTCCTTGCTAATGCTGGTAATGTCCAAGGTCCAGTGAGCTTTTCCACAAGCAGAAGGCAGTGACCCCCACCCTACCCCCAAGAGTTCCATGAAGCCAGAGACCTTTTCATCTGAGGTCCATGAAAATCTCCCAAACAGATTCATATTGCTCTACTTGAGGCATATAGCTACCCAGGTGCAAGGAGGCATGGCCACGTGATCTGTAGCTATATCAGAATCCCCTAAAGTTTGGATGTAAGTTTCTCAAAGGAAAAGTGTGGAATTCTCTCTCTTACCAAAAGGAGAGAGGAGAAACACTGGGTATGCAAAAAAAAAGTAACAGATGTTCATTACACCTGTGTTCCCCCATTTAATTGAATCAGAAATCCTTCGGCTCTATATGAATTTTTTTATTAACAACCTTCAATTCCTGAAAAGAAGAGGAAAGGTACTCACACAAGTTGAAAATCTACTGTGCTTTCGGCCAAGTTCCAGACATTTTAACAGTTAGAACAACATAGGTAAACAATATTCCCCTTTTAAAGAGAAGGTAGCTGAGACTTGGGCTCGTTCTGTTCCTCTGATCAAACAGCTTGCAACTGGCAGGACCTACATTCAAACCCTGTTCTGTCTGACTGACTCCACACTAATGTGCTATGCTCTTTTTAGCAACCCTGAAATCAAAGAAAGTGTTGCCGATGGTCCTTAAATAGATGGTGGACACCACCACATTTGGATGCCTGTGTTGATAAATGAATCAGTTCACAAACACTTAAGTTCCCACTGCCATGATTCCATTAGCATGAGTCCTGCAACTAAAGGCAAGACAATGGCCTCATCCCTGTCTCCAAAGTCATCACAATCAAGTTGGCAGAACAAAACAAATATGCATTCAAGAAAACTACAGAGTTAAACTGCGGTATTTATCACATACCCTTCAGTGAAACTCACCAACCTTGAGATTCCTATTCAGAGTCTGTGGCCCTCTTTAGACTGCAAGCTCCATGAGGAGAGCTAACCTGCCTCTCTGGTCACTGCTGCACCAGGATTGTAGCTGTTCTACAAATGTTTGTTGCTGATGATTATTGCAGATGTGGTCACAGGCAGTTTCACATAAAGAGTAAGTCTGGAGTTGCACTTACAAATTAAGCAATCTGGAGATAGTTTTTAAAAAGGAGAATAAGTAATTAGAACACATTCTACAGAGATAGAAGGATGGTTGTGAGAAGCAAAAGTAACACGGGAATAAGCAAAAGGATGGTAATGGATGTGGTGTGCATATGGACAAGTGACAGGCACAGGAGGCCAGGATTGGGAACTGTACAGATGATATCCAGAGACCAGGGTGAACTCAGTTTTCAGCAGCCACTGTCGAATTTTCCAAAATCTCTGAGCCACGTACCCTTTACTTACAAAATGAGAAAGACATAGTCTATAAACCTTTGCCACTCTCTCCCTGCAACTACTCCAGAGATTCACAAACTTGCTAATAATGGGAAAGCACCCAAGAAAAGAGCATGCCCAGAACACTGATTTAGGTCCAGGAATCTGCATACTTTTAGAAGTTTCACAGGTGATCAGCCAGGTTTGGGAATCATTCCTTAAAGGAGGGTAAATATACCTAACACAAAAAAGAAAAAATTCAGAAGTTTATATGGGAAAATCAGCAAGGCAGGCTAAGAGGCAAAAGACTAAGGAAGGCCTCAGCTGGCAGAAGGGTTCTCTGCCTTCCTGAAGCAAGAAGCCATTGTGTGCCAGAATGAAAAGTGTGCGTTTTTGTGAGTTGATGTGGCAGCTTTGGGCTGTCACCTCCTTTAGTCACTGTTTCAGGTCTGGGGATGTTAACTTGTTCCTCACTGAGGCCTTCTCTCCAAGAAGGCCCTGGGTCCTCTCCTCCTCCAGCAGTCACTGTAGCACACTTTCTGAAGTATGCAAAGAACAAGCATTTTGCAGTGGGGAGAGGCAGAGGTTTTCAGGGTTGACTGCCTCTTGTCTGGGTGGGACTGCACTAGAGAACCTTGGGACACGCAGGAAGAAAAGGCTTCCCTACTGTCCAGCTTGGTTTTACTCAATGTGACTTCCAAGGGATCCTCAAACACTTTGAAAAATAATCATTTAGACTCCTCACCCCATGAGTTAGGAATGCAGCACTGGAGGGCTTGCTCAGAGCTGCATTTATTTAAAGATTAACTTAACACTCTGACTGTAGGGCGAAAGCGAGCCAGACAGTGCGGTGTTAAGAATTAAAAAGCCACCTATCGTTCTCCTGGGGACGCCTACCTCCTTGCCCAGATAACGTTACTATTTTCCGGGATTGGATTAGTCTTTTTTTCAAGCACGCCATCCATTTGAAGTGGACTTGGAGGGAGCGTGCCGCATCCTTCAGTCCCCGCGGGTCTGTCTGTGTCCCCCTGAAGCGGGTCCCTTCGGCTTTCGGACGCCAGGACGCGGGATTGGAGGTGTGGGGCGGGGGCTGCTCCTCACGGGGGGCTAGGTCCGGAATCCGCCCCCCGAGGCAAAGCGCGAGCACTAAGAACTCGCCCGCCCCTCGCGCAGCCAGCCGCCTCCCACCGCGAACTCGGCGAAGGAGGGAGGGGGCCGCGGGAGGGAAAGAAGTGGGGCCGGGCGGGGGGCCGGGAAGCCGGGAGGCGCTGACGTCACTGGGCGCGCAATTCGGGCTGGAGCGCTTTAAAACACAGGCGTGCGAGCGGAGATGCTGCTCCACACCGAGCAGGCCGCGGGCAGCAGCGCGGCTCACTGTTCCTGCAGCGGCGATAGCCAGCGCCGCTCCGCAGGCCCGCGTGGCTGCAGCGGGCCCGGCGCGGCCCCGCGGCGCTTCTCCTCCGCGACTCGCCGGGGGGCAGGAGCGCGGCGCCCCGCGCTGCAGAAGCCCACCGGGCAGCGTCCCGCGCGCCACCGTCCGCGGCCATCCGGAAGCTCTTCTCCGACCTCGTGCTGCTCGCGGCCCCCTCCCGGGCACCATGGACACATCCACGGTCGCCGCGCTCCTGTCCTTGCCTGTCCTGCTGCAGCTGGCGACCGAGGCCGGCTCGCCGAGGCCGGGCGCGCTCCTTCGGGGGTGCCCCGCGCGCTGTCAGTGCGAGCCCGATGGCAGGATGCTGCTCAAGGTGGACTGCTCGGACCTGGGGCTCTCGGAGCTGCCCTCCAACCTCAGTGTCTTCACCTCCTACCTGTAAGTGCTCCCCAATCCTCTCCGCGAAAGGGGCAAGCGGGGGAGGGAAGCCAGCCCAAGACCAGGCTGGGCGCTCGTCGGTTCCGTCTGCTCTGGATGGGGCGAGCGGGTCTACCCAGCGCATCTTGACCAGATGTTTGGGCCCCGCGGAAATGCACGTGTCTCGAGACTGGCACGACAGCAATTTCTGGGCCCGCAGGAAAACGGCTTCAAGTGCAGCCCAGGGTTCGTAGGCTCGCGGTTCAGCTGCAGGCAGGTCGCAGGGCGAATTGCCCCGAGGGCAGGCATTTGCCTGCCGTGCGGCCTGTGTGCCCCTGAGCCTGGAACCCAGGGCCGGGCTGCCGGGTCCGCGCCTGTCCCCGCCTCCGCTCCGCGCCCAGTCTCGTTCCAAGAAGAGATGGGCTGTAAAAAGTTTCCCCAAACGAGAGCTCCAGCTTGTCCAGCTCCGGGGGAACTTACTCTGCATCCTTTGCACAGTCGCTAGGTCTAACCTTTTTCTTTTCTTTCTTTATTCGTCGTCGTCTTTTTTTTTTTTTTTAAATGAAGTGATTAAAATGTGGCAACCACAAACCCCGATTAGAGCTGCCAGAACGTTATCTTTACCTTTGGCTGCCCGAGCCGCCCTTTGAAGTGCCCGCGGCCGCGGTGTAATCTTTAACCATCTCCTCCTCCCGGGGAGGTAAAGGGAAGTGGGCCGTAGGCGGCGGGCGGGCGAACTGCGGCGCAGGCACCGAGGAGAGACCTGCAGCAGTCCGTCATCCCCTAGGGATCCGCCCAGCCCGTCTCCCCTCACCGTAGCCTCCAAAGCCCCAGCCATGGCTCATTTCAGAATATTGTCCCGGGACAGCCCAAGCCCGGAGGGTAACAGGTGACTGGGCTGAGGTGACCCAGGAGGAACCCTATTCTCGGGACCAAGGTGACTACGCCCCCTCCCCGGAGAGCCTGGGGCTCAGGTCCTCAGGCAGAGAGACCAGGGTCGCGGCTACTTCGGAAAAGGCGCACTCGTGACCTAAGATGACATGTTTAGGTTTAAATTCGAGGCACTGCGGGGTGCCCACCCCAAACCCAAGCGATCCCAGTTTCGGCTTCTCTGATGTACCTTGGCAGGAGTGAGTTAGGATGTTTGTGAACTCGTTCTTTCCTCGGTTTCGTTGTTTTGTGGAGGGGGGAAAAAAACATAAAAAGGCTTGCACAACGCTTTCCACCAGACAGTCGTTCTTTTTCTAGAGACAGAGTGAGGAAGAAAAAAATTTTTTTTACTTGCTTTAATATTGTGTTGAAAGAAAGGGGACCATCTGCTAGATTTTAGTATTAGTAGATGGCAGCCCCTTCCTCAACCTACCGTAAAAGTATTTTCTTTTTCTTTTCCTGAAAGGATTACAAAATTATCCGTATTTCTGTATTTCCCCACCAGGTTTTTCTTCAATGGTACTCATTGCATGCGGTGGTGATATTTTCACAGTGATAAATCTGCTCTCCTAAATGATCATTCTCTAAGAATTCACATTTCCTCCTCCTAAACAGCTGTCTGTACTACCAAGTGAAATTGGTAGTGTACTACCAATACTCATCTCCAAGCTCTCTCGCTTAACTGCGAAACTCAGTGTTTCGAGAATCGTGTGTTTTTCTGAATAGTGAATTTCTGAGAGCAGTTTGGCAATTGCACTTAAAGAACCGAGAAACTATTCTGACCCATCCTTCCCATCTTCCCTGGAAGAATGGACTATATATACAACGGAAATGTGCAGTCCCCTGAAACACTTACCTAACTGTTTACATCATACACTTGTTATAAAACATGTTTAAGAATACATAACATAAACTTATGAATAGCGTCAGGATGCTTTTTTCTCCCACCTGAAGGAACAAACATTTGTTAGGCTTCTGTTACTAAAAGTTGGCATTAAATGCTGTTTCAAATTATTTCCCACATACTTCAAATTCATTTAACTGCATCCTCCATACGCTCAGGAGATCTTACCTATCTATCATATCAATAGATAACCCCTTGGAGTGGAGATTCGATTAGAAAGTTAATTGTCATCTTTTACTCATGAAATTTACTGACGGTCTGTACCCTGGCCCGAGGGGAAATTTTCTCAGTGTCCTATAAAATGTTAAATTCAGAGTGTCTGTGTAAAGTGTCACAGTAAATGTTAAACATTTGCTTCTAATGGTTAACATGAGTTCAGGCAGTATGAGTGCTAAGTGTAGAAATCAGTCCTTAAGTAAATAACTGAACCGATGGATGTTCTTCGTACTGTGCAATTTCAGAATTTTGTCTCCTTATAGAACACAAAATGCCAGGGGCCATGGAATCCCTTCCTTCCTGGATTGAGGGGCTTGGGATCTGGGGGCGTTGGGAGGGTTTTTTGGTTTTGGGGGATTTTTTTGACCACCACAGGTACAGTGTGTAAACATTAAGGGTAGATGGCGCCCTCTTTTGGTTACACCTAGAATTATCTGACCGTTTCTGCCTTCATTTGGGTGCACATACCTGAAAGAGGAATTTATTTGCTCATACTCTAATAAATAAGCATGTGTTTTACTGGCTTTCTTATTTTAAGAAATAACTACCCTTTGCTCTTGAAAGGAAACACTGAGTTCCAGCCACACTCCACTGTGGCCCAGGGGTAATTAAGCTTTGATGGGAAAGTTGCAGAGCGCAGACTAATACGGGAAAAGGCCAGACTGCTATCTTTTATTGTTTGTAGTAGGTTATCACCATTTATTTGAGTCAAAATGTTATCTCTTAATCTTCCTTCCCTCCCCACAAAAGAACAAGCATTTAATTTCTTCAAACAGATTGATGGTGGCAAGTTCCAGGTGTACACATCTGGCAAATAGATTTGCCACAATCTGATAGCTGGCATGTCAGATTTGGAGGTAAAGAAAGTTTCCTAAATCTCTTCATAGAAGGCTAGAGCTATTTATGTGCAGTTTTATAATCTTTCTTCACCCAGAAAAGCTAAATCTTAAGCCAGTCCAACATTAATATTAACTCTTCTTACTGTGTTCCCCAGTAGATCTATAATTGGGCCACTGAACATGGTGGAAACATTGGAAAATCTCAGTCTTAATCTCTCTCTCTCTCTCTCTCTCTCTCTCTCTCTCTCTCTCTCTCTCTCTCTCTTTCCCCATAATGGGCTCCTATTTTACAAAAAGAGCTAATAAAGCTCACTCAGCAGAAAATAAGGAAAATACCAATAAAAGCAGGCAATAATTGTTTACAACATTTAGCACATCTCAATCTACCAGTAATGATCTGTCAGAAACAAAGCAGCTCTAGCATCTAATCTTATTTTAAAGAAGTTATTTTAATGCATCAAATGTGGACATTTTTGCTAATGGGGTCTTAAAAGTAAGCTCCCTTCTGCTACTTTGTTGTGTCTTTCATCCATTTAGTGTTTCATTCAGATAGAAAACTAAATCATAATGAATATCCTAATATAGTATAATACTTCTCTTTATTGAGCTAGAACAGCCATTTTGTTTTTAAATGAAAACTAAGTTTTCCCCTGATGTTGCTTAAAGACATGAAAATTTCATCCACAAGCAAATTTATGTCACATGAACCAAAGGAACAAGGAGAAAGAATTTTCTAATTTTATGTAGTTGGTTACTTTTCCATATGTAACTTTGTAACAAAATTTAATTCTACACATAATTAGTAAAACTGGTATTAATAAGAGCTGATTAAAAACCCTCAATTATAACTAATTGAGTCTGGCCCTGGTGTCATACATGTGTTTTAAGCATTTAAAATGCAGTTTCAAAATTAAAGAATATTTTTAGAATCTTCTTTCAAAATGGTTTAATATATTTCGGCTTCCCTTCAAGCAAAGAAAATTATTTTAAATAAAGGAAAATGTTTGCACTTAGAAATGGTTACAAAAGCCTTTACTGTTATAACAGTCTTTAAATTTAGATCAGTTGCAAAATTTATAGTTTGCTCTACAACCTACTTTCAAAATTAGTTTAAAATATATGATGTCAATTGCTTTCCTGCATTTCAATGAAGTTCTTTCTTTTTCTCCAGGATTCCCAAGGTTTTTTTAGTAGTGTTTTTGTTATGGGAGCAATTACTGAAACTTATTGACTATTTTAGTCTGAGTGAATATTTTTAAAGTACTGGTTCTGATTCAAACAATTTTATGGTATAGATTTAGGATAAATATTTTACTGAATATGTTCAACATGTGCATGGCAGAATTTATGTGACAAAAATGAATTTTTACATATAATAAACACGATATTCAATCAGATCTTCGATCTTTTTTCTCCCAAAGCCTTTTCTTCAAAGTAAAGGAGTTCGGAGTTCAGATAATCAACAAAAGGTAGCAATCACAAATGATTTGGAAGACTGAAATAAAAAAATAACCTTTGTAGTTAAATAAAATTACTTTTTGATAATAGAAACTTCCAACTTGTATGTGTTTAAAGAAGTTCGGAAACACAAAACTTGTCTATGATTTCTCATAGCTAAGTTTTTTATCTGAACTATTTGATTGTTTTTAATTTCCAAAACATATAACTGTGACAGGCATAGAAACAATATCCAAGTAGACAATTAACCCAATAAAGCTATCATAAAATTAAAAGCATTGCAGTATGCTTGTAGTTTTATAACTGATACCTAATATCTACCTACCTTAGTAAAGGGTTTTTTTATTTCTTCTACTTGTACATTTAAGTCATTTTGCTGACAATTGAAGTATGTTTCCAATTAATCCAATCATAGCCAGTAAGATAGAAATGAAAAACAGTAGGGAGCTCTGCAATGAACAATTTTGTGGAGTAATTTTTTGGTTTTGCTCAGTTATTTATATAAATTTAGAATAATGCTAAATGGCACATTTCCTTGTAAACACCCCACATATGTATATTTCTGGTAAACTGGATTCTTCATGAGAATGCAGATTCCTTCCTATGAGATTCAACCTCCTCACTCTTGCTGCACTGTTTTCCCTTAGAAAGTTTCATTTTTTAGTAGAAGATGA